TGAAATCAAGTTCGCGTGGGTACGCAGTCTTATAATAAGCAATAAACACTGTGGGACTTAAGGCCAGAATGGTGGTCTTTAGTCCCACTACTCTTCGATTTTTTAAAAATCAGCCCCACGGGCAACAATCCCGATACCTATGTGGGCATGTCCCTTTGGGTCCCGCGGATACGCGAAAAAAAAATTGTACCTCCCCCACCCCCTGGGCATGACTTATGGGCGTTTCGCCTTATGTCCCAGAGCTTGGTCTTATGTCCCTGGCCTAATGTCCCACAATTTTGGCCTTAAGTCCCACGGGGGACATGAGGCCAGGGACATAAGACCAAGTGGGACTTGAGGCCAGGGACATAAGACCAAGTTGGCCTCAAGTCCCTTTCAAAATGGGACTTGAGGCCAAGTTGGTGTTATGGACCCAGACTTATGTCCCATATCTGGCCCTATGTACCTGAGGAATATAGCTGGTTACTCGACGATTATAGGCACAGTCATCGAGGTAAGACGTCACTATTCAAGTTCAACGGATCTAGATTTCCTACATTTTGCCAATTCAATTATAATTTTAGTTTCCAAAATCTTTTTTTTTTTTTGGTTTTGTCAAACGCCATAATTTCAATCAAATTTGTTCACCTTGGTTAAATATGTGACGGTATAATTCGCTAGAAGAAAACTGTCTTGTGGTTGGCTGTACATGACCAGTTAAGCTGTAACAATACCACGTGACTCGTGTTGATAAACATCACCCCCAACAGCTTCTGACGCACGCTTTGACACACCATTGTTAGGGTGACCCACCATAAATAAATATCTCCAAATATCTCGACAATTACGCCACAATATTTATATATATGCCAAGCCTCAAATCAGTTTCACACAATTATAGTCACTAAATAAACGATCATGTTGTACTTAATAAGCTATGACCATTAATCATCTATAAATAATAGACTGAAAACTGGTTCCAAGTTGCGTCCATAACATCCAGACACTTTTGAGTAAAAGATAGGTTACGTGCCCTTGTTTTGAAATTAGTCTCGCTTAACCAGTCTATCGACCATTCTACGTCTGATTGACAGGTCGGGATAATCAAGACTACTTTTTTACGAAACATAACAGAAAGCTAGAACAAGAAATTGAATTTAGAAATAAGCACTTTAGACAACTCAACAATTGTTTTAAGAAACTTGTAAAAGTAAAATGAAACTACTGCTAGTATCATGTTCCTGCTAAAGAAAGTGATTCAGAGATAGTATTTGTACTAAACCAAAAGATGCCGCTCTTAACGGTACAGTTAATGATAAAGCAATTTAAAAAATAAAACAAACGTAATTACTAAAGCTGCTGTAATAACCAAGAAGCTAAATTTTACTGCTATTCAAAATCGTCAACAATAGATTTTTTACGGCTGTAATAGTTGATATATTTGTAGAGAATTGCACGTGCCATGGCTATTTATCGACTCAAAGCGAGTGCGGGGTAGTCAGAAATCAGTTCGAGACACGCAACTGAAGCGTGCACATTTAGCCGTGTCGAGACCAACTTTCTGTAAAGTGCACGGGTCATCCTACCATTGTACTATATTTCACTAAGAACAGTCTTGATTGACAGGTGATTCAATTGTTATATATGCCTGTTATCACGTGATCTCGTTCATATTCATAATGCCATTATACATCTGTAATTAAAATGGATTTTAGTAATTTTTTTATGTTTTTGTGTGTCGATACTTCAATAATAAAAACTTACACCTCAATATTGAATAATATATCAGGTATATACCATTTTCCTGTAAAGCAATCAAATAACCCGTTTTCTAGCAGGGGGGTTGGAATGGCCTAGTGGTCTAGAGTGTCGCGCTTCGACCTCTAGCTGGCCCGTCACCCCTGGCTTGCGGCTGTGGTTTCGAGCCCTGGCGTGAGCGTATGTGGCATGGAGATAGGGGCGCCTTCTCAACCTCGTGGGTTTCCTCCGGGCACTCCGGTTTCCTTCCACTGCTAAAAACCCCTACGCGCAAGTGAATTATTGAAATAATTAAACCATATGTTAGTCCCGAAATGACCTGGTTTGTATTGAGTGGACGTTAAACCCCATTTCTCTCTCTCTCCCGTTTTCTAGCGTAGCCTATACTTATAATACAATTATTACACCTACTTGTCGAATTACCATTTCCAGGTTGAGATTTCAATTTGCAGAGGTTAATACAACACAAAATAAAAATAACATTGTCCCGTTGGGCTTCCTTACCTTTATGTCTACTAACTTTTAGTTTGATATTTGCTTTTTACACAATCTATTACATACGTGTTTATAACCTGTGAACTGTATGATTATTTTAGGAACACCAAACTGAGCAAGTAATCAAAAAGGGAAAGGAGATTAACATAAAAAAAATTAAAATAAGAGACGAATCGGACTCAACAATAGTTACCGTCTATCAACCAACAGCAGAAGTTACTAACCTATTGAAAGTTGATCAATATATTAAAATGACAAATTTAAAATTTAATTTATACCAGCAAAACGTGGAATTCAGTTCGAGGTAAGTTAGTATATTCCTTCGCCCAAAGTCAACATTTTTAAGTTCCGGAGAGCCTGACGAGGACAGCTGTCTAGTCGTTCGGATTGGACGAAAAACGAAGTCCCATGTACACATTGGCGTGCACGTTAAAGATCCCTTGGCAGTTGGAATTCTATATAAGAGTAGGCCGTAGCGCCGGTCTACCATTATCCCAGGTTAGGTACAGAAGAGTAGGACGTTAAACCCCATTTCATTTTATATTGATTAATATATTAGTTTAATAAATAATAACATTTGTTATCACAGTCTCGTATCCAAATGCACATAAAAACCAATATGACGTAACGCTTTGATGTTGGCGTAGCTGTTTCATACTGCTAATCGTCCATTTTGTTTTTAATTACGTGGTGGCAATTTCATAATACATGTGTTGTAAACTGTATTTTCTATTGGTAGTTTATGTAAGGGCTCGGAGCAAGACTTTGCGTAGTATATTGATAGAAAAATCGGGTAGACACATTATATTGATATGTAAGCGTCTCTCTGAACCACCCCTTAATAACCCAAATTGATAATACTATGCATTTTGGGTTTTTTTTGTAAATTTAAGATGGTAGAGTGCCAACCCGTTCGGGTAGTCGGTCTGCCGGAGGCGTATGACGAAGAGCATGGGATTATTACCATAAAAGTGCCAGACGGCACCTATAAAGAATTTTCAATTTGTAACACTAAAACTAAAGAGATAAACAAAATTATTCTCAAAGAGAGAAATATATATTTGACCATCAAGAACAATAAAGTTCTAGATTTAAAAGGTATGTTAACCTCAAAATATATTGCAATCGTACTAACAAATCCATATTTATAAAGCGTAATTATTCTATAAATAGATTTTATTATATATATCAAATGCAATTTCAAGACGATTTAAGGCCACTGATCGCCATTTACATATATCGGACAGTGTAATTTTTTTAAAGATTTAATCCAATAAAAAATCTCTGAGAACTGATTATTTAACTTATTTAGAAAAAGTATATATCAAAAGTAGATAAGCTCATGGTTTGAATTAATTCAGTCAGATATTGGAAATTAACTTCTTAATATTAAAGTTTGCAACAATTTAAAATGACATTAATTCAATCTTATTTTTTTTTCAGAAGGGAATTGAAATTAAAATCTCCAAACCTTCACTTTATAGTATGTTATGATACTTCTCTTCGGAATAATCAGTTTCCGCCCCAGTAGAATGCCCGTTTACCCAAAGTTCTGAATGCAAAATAGAGGCTAAACTGCAGCAGTATAGTTCCACGTTTTAAAACCCCATCCTATCATTTTGTTTTTGAGCATACGCGCGTGCAATCAACGAAAGAGCCAAGTATAAAATCAAACCATAGTATAGAAAATATTCCCTGGTGTCTCTACATCTATGAACCGAATTTTGAACGAATTACAATAATAACTTGAATCAAGATTTTGAATTTTAACATACTCGCTTTTTTAAAACCACAACATCGTTGCAAATTATGTTTAAGTGATAAGTACGTGCAGTTTCCTATCTCTTGAAAACTTGTTTATTAAATTCTCAACTGCGTAGATTACTACAAATTAACACTTTCCAGCAATTTAAAATTTCTACACCACTACTTTATTATTCCGGTTTGAACTCGTATTTAATTTGTTGGGAATATAAACTTCCATCCGTTATAAGTGTTATGCCCCATGAACTAAATTCATAATAAGCACCGTCCCCACGGTCCCAAGTGCCACGTGTCCTCCCGAGTTAATGTTATATAGTTTTCCTAGCTCAAATATCATCAGAATTGGCAAATGCTTTTGCACAGCAGTGGGGCGATACTACGACACGTACCCTGTCTTGAATGCCACAGGTGAAAAAAGAGAAATGGAGTTTAACGTCCACTCGACACAAAATAGGTCATTTCGGGACTAATAGGGTCTTTACCAGTGAGAGGAAACCGGAGGACCTGGAGAAAACCCACGAGGTTGGACAGGCGACCCTATATTCCTTGTCACGTACAGGTGAAAAAAACTACTAGCTATATTATTCAAGCAAACAAGTATTTTTTAAGCAAACATTAACTTACTTAAACGGTTAAATAAACAGGGTTGTGAAAACGAGGTAAAAGACAAAACCCTTAGATTTTTTTTTCGCGTCTTCGTCCCTGCATTTAATAATTGTCGGATGCTTTTGTTTTGCTCTTAAAGGGACAATAACACTCTTGCTGTAACTGAATAATATGTCCAATCTTCATTTTGGTCAACAAATTGTACTATTATACAATATCCCAATTCATTAGTGGTATATGCATGATCTTATCAACGGTATTTAAAAAAAATGGGAAAATTCCGTTGGGTGGATGGTGTTCTCATCAAGTTCACTATGAGAGACTGGTAAAACCAGTCTACCAAACGGAAAAGAGAATCCCATTGTAGCGCATGCGCAAAACGTCAAATACGCCTCGCTCTGTAATGTTTATACATCTAGCTGACAGATTTAGAGGATATGGAACTTGAAATTCTACGATTCATGCCAAATCATGAATCCATTTTTTCCCGGTAAGTTTATATTCATTACGAGTATTTACTTATGCTCTCATGGACTTAAAGTCGGCAACGAACTGCGAAGTGAATGATCAGAATTTAGATTGAATGATTGTCATTTGTAATGGTAGTATTGGTAGGCCTACTTCGACTAAATTATTATCAGTCACTCGACTCACTGCATGACTGCACATGGTTTGGTTACCGGTACCTAATTGATGGATCAAACAGACAGATTATCTTTAAAATTTGATGATTGGGTTCATTCTTAGCTTTGATTAGACCTAAGACCGATATGGCTTCATCCACCTGCATTTTTTAAATTGATAATGAGTAATCATAGAAGCTGTTTATTTTAAACTTCTTGAAGTTGCAACATGGTTTCACCCTCAAAATATATAAATAATATCAAATTAAATGAATCATTCATCAGATTTATTTCTGCACTTTTGAACTTGATAATTATTATGACTGACAGTGTTATATGTGTGTAATAAATTCATTGGTGCCAATGAAGAAGCAGTTACTTGTGATTCCTGTGGTAAATGGACACATAAGACATGTAGAACAGGTCGACAAATTTCTTGTGTGCAATTAGGCTATTAATTAGGTTTATTGGCTCGAATTTTCTATGAGTTAAGAAAATCCTTTTTTTATTCACTTTGCATTTTGGTTTTACAGGTATTTCGAAAGCTGTCTATTTGAGGTCAGTCAAAACTGGGAGTGATCTACCATTCTTGTGTCGAGCATGCCAGGTGGAATCATTTAATTCATTACCAGATGTTGACCCCCCCCCCCGTCTCTACTTTACCAATTATGCCAGAAGCAACTCATGCTGCCCAACCTTCAACATGAACAGCATCATCTACATCAAGGACAATTAGATCTTAACGGAAGCTGCAATTACATGTAACGTCATCCGAAAGCACCCCACTGAGACCAAAAAGAAGGAAAAGACAAAAAGGGAAAACTGAGTCACCAAGGGAGAGGGCCGAGAGACCCAAAAAAGAAAAAAAACTGAGAGACTCAAGGTAAGAAAACTCTTTTTTTAATAGTTGTAAAATATATACACAGAAACAGCAAACAAGAATATTTATGAAAAGTGGCTGAAAAAATGCCTGCAGTTTTATTTGACATTTATGAAGAACTAAGAAACCAACAGCCAATCCAACCCCCATATCCAACCTCAACTGCACCAAATTGGTGTTCCTATGACAGATGTGGAGATATGCCAACAGATATTGAGAAGTTATGTGGCGGTACCAGACCAGATTATTGTATTTCATTACCACCAGTAAGTGATTTTTTTCTGTAATAATATCCTTTGATATATTTCATCCACAAAAATTAATGTCATTGGCCCGGGTAGTACCGGCAGCAGGAAGTTCTGCAGCCTTCATTTCAGTCACTTCAAATTGGCTGGTTTACTGAAAATAGATTTTAAAAATAGTTAAATATACATTATGCAAGAGCTAAATATGTCTATTGTAGGTCTTTCTTTAGGCCTGAAATGTTATACAAACTATTAATTAGACATTAATTAAAGTATCCTGACCATAATCAACTCTCGATGTCAACGCTAACCTGCGATATTTGTTGGATTATGATCCGATTTGCTGCATAACTTTCCTTCTCGATTTAACAATTAAATGGATAATCGAGACTGATTTTTGTCGTACTGACTTTAGTAATGATGACCAAGGCTATGTGGAACTTTCAATCGCTTATTTCTCGGTTCGTAGTGGATCAATTTGGCTGAAATCTTCAGCAAATTGCCTTTACATTATCTAGTTTTTAACTATTATAGTGAGAACTGCCAACTCGTTATCTAATCTCGCATAATGTATCTTTAATTTAATTTTTTCAGGAGTTTGAACAGTATTGTTTAGAGCCACAAGTTCTGGATCTTGCTAATGTATATAGAAACGGTGTACTAGCAATTGATATGGACGAAGACATTAATCGAAGGAGAAGGCTTGCAGCCTACAGACAATTTGTTATGTTGTGGTACAGGGAATAGAGTAGTAGTACCCTCCTGTTCTGTTCTGAAAATAGGATTATCATTTCAAGACAGAAATGGCATGGGTTTTAATTGAAGAAGATTATTATGAAAATACTTACATTAAAATCTGGTTTTCTGTTTCTTGGCTGTCTCTGAAGTTGGTTCTGGCTGGGGTTTGGCAACTGTGTCTGCAATCTTTCGAGGACCATCCTGGTCTAGTGGTCATTTTCGCCCCGTTTTGCCTTTATCATCGAGTCTGGCCCTATAAAGATAGTAAATTCAAGACATCAAAATTGTTCCAGGATGGTTTGGCAATTAATACAAATTCTTGTTTCGTGCCAGACATTTTTAATTTTTACAACACTTTATTTGATTCTAAAGTTTAAATTTAACTCATCCATCCAATCAAACTTACTATGGTACTTACATTTCAGGAGGCCTGTTCTTTCCCTTGTCTGTATCAGTACTACAAAAACAAAATTAGTTGTAATAATTGGCACTATCATGTATAAAAATGACGATATCATTACCAGTATGTTAATGATGAAAATGTCTGGTAGCTTACCAACAACTAAGATTTTCACAGCGTTGGAAAAATATTGTGATAAAAAATAAGGTGTACTAATAATGGATATAATGCAAAGTGAATGAAACAATAATGTCACTGAGACAATAATGTCATTGAATAATTTGAAACAGTGATAAAATTGTTATTACTTACTATATAAATAAAATATTAAAAATTCATATAAAAGTTGTGTTCGTGTTTTTTCATATAATCCTCGTTTTTAAATTTGTGGGATGAAACAACCCTATATAAGTGGAATGAAACGACCCATGTAATTTTGGGATGAAACAGCCCAGGGTGATCTACATGACATGTAACATAATTGTCAAAAAACAATTAATTAGTTGCTGTACAAATATTACCTGCCATGAATGGATAATAGTTCTGAAACATGCAGTGCTCCAGTACTTTGTGCTTTTTAAACACAAGATTTTTTAAAGTGTCGAAATTTAATATCGAACGCTAGGGTTAAAATCACAATCGCATCCCACGTGTCTCAGATTGAAATTATGCACGTGGAAAACTCCCTATAAAAGTAAATGCTGTTAACACTTTCATTCCATTGCAAAATGAATCCAATATCCATACAAGATTTGTTGCAGCTAGATACGGCACCAGTTGGGAGACCAATAATTTCAAAATTTTATTTGAAAAAACTTCTGAGGGACGTCTCAAATTTCAGTATGCCATCGCCGACCCAACTGGTGCCGTCCAACCTTACTATTCGCAAAAACTTAAACTGAACAAAACATAGGTTTTAAACGCCTTCACTTTGAAAACATCACAAAGAACAAATGTGAAATATCTAACTACAGGTAAGAAATTGATTCAATATCCATCTTTACAAATTCAAGTCCCTTTTAAATATATTCGTTCATAGCAAATATGCAGTTAAATTTATCGATGATCAATTATCTACTTAGAAGCATAATTTACTGCTACAGCCAAAATGCATTTATATGAAAACGCTCGTTCAAATTCCAATAACGACAATACGTTGTCGCTTGCCAGACTGTCCTACACCAAGGTTCTGCTCTTAGTCCGATTTTATTTACCCTTTTTACGTCACCATTAGGTGATATTGTCAGAAATTATAGCCAAGCACATTTTCCGGCACATATGTCTACTCGATGCAACCAAACGATAGCGTTCTCTCCCCCAACCGTTACTGACATGTTTTCCACCTTGTCGATAGTACCGGACAGAGGGCTTGAAAAGGACCGCTGTATACATTGGCGTACACGTAAAAGATCCATTGGAATTCGATATATAAGGTCATAGTGCCGCTGCCCGGGTAAAAGTTTTGCTAATAGCACACTGTATGACGTATGTCCATCTCCACTAACCCAGTCGGAGCAGAACAGTAAAAATTTAACGCCATATCATTTCTCTATATCACCCCAACCCCAACAAAGTATGAAAATCTGCGCAACGTTAAACTAAATTTCTAAGACCGACAACTTTGATTAATTTTGACTAAAATATTTTCATCTGTTACAGAAAACCCCCCAAGAAAAACACCCTTAACCAGAATTATTCCCGATGACATAAAACAAAGAGCAAGGGAAGGGATGTTCCAGCTTGCCCCAATTGCAGAAGCGGAACAGCTAACTCAATTCTCCACACTAACTGGTGTAATCATCGAGGTAAATATCTTAATAATCTTAACAAGCACTTCATCTGCCTTTTAATGTGTCTGATAGATGGGGGGAGGGGGTTGAGTGGTCTGTCATGTAATCGGTGTCGTGATTTGTATTCCAAGCAAGTATGTAACCTAGGTCATTTCGGGACTAACATATGGTTTAATTTTATTTCAATAATTCGCTTGCGCGTAGTGGTCTTTAGCAGTGGGAAGAAACCGAAGGACCCGAAGAAAACCCACGAGGTTGGACAGGCGACCCTCCGCCTTGCCACCTACAACCGGGGATTCGATACCACGCCAGTAGACTCAATGACGGGCATTATGATACAGCGCGCACACACTAACCATTCAGCCATCCAACCCTCCTAATCTGGAAAGGGTTGTCTATCAAACCTCGTCGGTTTTCTCTGGTCCCTCCGGTTCATCCTACTTATAAAGAACCCTATACGTACCAGCATCTTAGTACGGAAATGACCTAGTTTGTGTCAAATGTTGGCCACAAAAGTTCTTTGTGATTTATCGGCTTGGCTCCCCCTTGTCAGTGATGCAGGGCGGAAGGCCTGACAAGGACGATGTCTAGTCGTTCGGATGGGACGAAAAACGGAGGCTCCGAGTACACGTTGACTTGCACGTTAAAGAACCCTTGGCATTCGAATTCGATATAAGAGTAGGCCGTAGGGCCGCTAACCGCGTAAATTGCCCCCCCCCCGAAGCACAGTATATGGCGCGTGCCCGTCTTTTAGTCATTGTTTCAATTTACTACTTTGAAACATCAAAATACTAACATGAAATTATAGTAAACAATAATAGAACGTGGCCCTGTTTAGCTTCCGTACCTTCTGTCTACTCATCTTTTTTCCCTTTAAATTTGCTGAAAATATTACATTTGTACATATATTATGATCACATACCAGAATGTAGGTGAAAATATAAACTTCTATCAACAGGAAAAGCAACAACAAGAGGTTACAACAAAAAAATAAAAGAAACTATGACCATAAAAAAAATCAAGGTACAAGACTCCTCGACATCAACTGAAATTGTGTTGTGGAGACCGAAAGCTCAGTGGCTTGACATTTGCCAAATTGGTAATTACGTTCAATTTACAAATATGGCCAACAAACGATTTGATGGAAAGATTCAGTTCAACTCCACAACACACACCGAATTAGAAGTATGTATAATTCAATTGTCTGTAATCAACATTTAAGTCCGCTCGCTAGCCTGGAGGTCGGGTGTCCGATCCCTGCATTGGCCAAGAAAGTTCATCCAGATTTTCCGGCGTGGTTCCCCCTTGTCAGTGATGCAGGATGGAAGGCCTGACAAGGACAGCTGTCTAGTCGTTCGGATGGGACGTAAAATCGAGGTCCCCTGTACACATTGGCGTACACATAAAATATCCCTTGGCAGTTGGATTTCGATATAAGAATAGGCCGTAGCGCCGCTGCCCGGGCAAAATTTCCCTCATAGCACTGTATGCCCGTCTTCATGAGCCTAGTTTAGGAACAGAACCGTAGAACGTTAAACTTCATTTCATTTCAGAATTCGGGAATATATTAACTTGAATAATAATCTAAACGTTATAAGTATATTATTCTTGTACTTAAGTCAACTTAAAATAGATATGATGTACCATTATTTAGTTATTTTATTTCACATATGGATTGGAACAAGGTGGCAATCGTTTATTATATACATACAAAATAGCCTACTTCCGCTGTTAAAGACCCCTCCGCCACACTGAATTACTGAATTAAAATTAAATCACGTCTAAATCCCGAAATGACTGGTTTCTTTGTAATGAACACTCATCCCCCTTCTTTCATTAACAAGAGCATCGCTAACGCAGCAATATACGTCCACATTCCTGTTTTGTTTGATATGGTCCAGTTTGCATTGAGGGTCTGTGAAATAAAACTGGGTTGTAGGACTGCTATCAGTATAACATTTCGTTCACATTAACAGAACACAATTTTTATTTTAAAACAATCGATGTCTTTATTCTAAAAGCATGACGTTTTTTTTTTGTTTTTTTTTGCTTGATTGATAACGATAAGAGAATACTTGTGGAAACGTCGTGCTTTTAGAATAAACTAGTGATTGTATCCCATAAAAACTGTGTTCTGTTAATTTGTTCCCTGATCGCTAAATGCCACTTAAAGAATAACTAGAAATGGGCGTGGCTCTGCCCCTGGGGGTCGGGCATGCACCAAAAACAATAGGGATCTTCCTTGGGGTATAAGGAATAAGTATACCAAGTTTGAAGAAAATCCAGTAAGAATTGCGCCCTGTAGGCGACACAAAGACACACGAAAAGAAAATGGGCGTGGCTCTGCCCCTGGGGGTTGGGCATGCACCCCAAACGATAGGGATGTTCCTTAGGGTACAAAGAATGTGTATGCAAAGTTTCAAGATTATTAGTTAAGAAATGTGGCCTGTAGACGACAAACAAACAAATACTAGAAATGGGCGTGGCTCTGCCCCGGGGGGTCGAGCATGCACCAAAAACAATAGGGATCTTCCTTGGGGTATAAGGAATAAGTATACCAAGTTTGAAGAAAATCCATGAAGAATTGCGCCCTGTAGGCGAACCACAGACACACACACACACACACACACACACACACACACACACACACATACATACATACACACACACACACACACACACACACAGACAGGGGCGACGGCATAATACGTTCACATTATGAATGTGGACGTATAAAAAGCGTCTGTTAGGTGTGGGTACGGGCTCGGTGATAATAGAGTGGGGCAGAACCCGAAATGCCCCAAAAAATTTCGGGTTACAGATGTTGGCTGTTGAAAAATTTCGT